GCTCAGTCAGGATCACCCAGAATCTTCGGAGCATTCACAGTCAAATTATTCAAAGCTCAATTGTTGGGGATCCATGTTTGAAGGCAAAGATAGCTTCTGGCTGAAGGAAATTATGAAATAAGGATGCAGTGAAAGTGTTGAGGCCCTAGTACCTCCAACAACCAGAATGAAGAGGGAGGGTGCAGTCTGTAGTGAGTTGATAATGCTTTCTGGCCCATCCCGTGTTTCCGTGTTTTGCTGTTATTGTGAGCAAAACACAATAGTTAGTTAACCTACTTAGTTCTGGGTTAAACAGACAAGGATGGTGGTGGCGGTGGTGGTGGTGGTGGTGGTGGTGGTGGTGTTGGTGGTGGTAGTGGTGGTGGTAGTGGTGGTGGTGGTGGTGGTCTGTGTGTGTGTGTGTGTGTGTGTGTGTGTGTGTGCGCACGCGTGTGCGCACATGGGCGTGGGCACGACTATGGAGTGTTAGGGCCATACATCTACCTTCCTTTCTCCCTCTCCCTCTTCGCATACTACATATTCCTGCAATGGGGAGGGAGCTCTGTTCTCTCACAGAAGCACTCAGTTCCCTTTCTAAACCTGGGAGGTGTTAGAAGGGCTATAATTTTGAATATAACAGGAATGGTTAATCTATACTATCTCATGTTCATATCCTGCCAAAGCTCTGCTTGCTTGGCCTTGAAAACCTGCTTTAGCTCTGCCTACCTCTCTAGATCCTTCTCATTCTCCTCCCCGTTCCCAGTCTCTCAGCTCGCTGTACTGAGCTCTTTTTATAGAACACGCCACAATCTGCTCTTGAATTTGTTATAATGGAGTCTGTCTCTCCCTTATTTGGAGCTTTGGGAGACAGGAAGTTGCCCTCCCCCATACTTCTTTTGAAATTCTCCTACAGTACCTGGCAGTTGATTTGACGCCCACCTGTTTGAGGTCCACTCAGTTTATTAAGTGTTACGTTAATTTCAGGGGATTATCTCTTATAGATATCAATTTATCATAATCACTATGGCATATAATTATACTTATTTAATCAAGTCTGCCTTTGCCCTCAAAAATAGTCACCAATTGTTCTTTATTGCCCTTTATACTACACCTAGGTATCTTACACCTAGATAAATGACTGCTGAATTTACAGATATGCAATGACCTATATTCCTTTTTCTTTTGGGGGTCACACCTCACAGTTCTCAGGATTTATTCTTGTCTCCATGCTTAAGGATCACTCCTGGCAGGGGTTGGGACACTGGGTTGCTGGGGACTGAACCCAGATCGGTCATGTGCAAGTAAACTTTTTATCGTAACATCATTTCTGCCTCCAATGGTATTTACTTTTTAGTAGTAGAGTAATGAGATTATATGGAGTATGAGAGTGAGAAAATCTACAAAAAAAACAGGGAAAAAAAGAAAAGATTTGAAAACCTTAATACAGTCAATAACAGTAAATAGTATAAAAGAGTAGAGATTTTTGCTGGGAAGGTTATTTTTAACATGTCCACTAATAAAGTTAGTGATTAACATTTTAATATGCATTTAATATTCATTACTTATATTTATTTCATAAGACTTTCTAGGTTGATTATGAATTTTTGAAGGTGGGATTTGACCTACAGCTATGACGACTATACTTTTATTAGACTGATACTTTAGTTATCATTGAACAAATGATAATTAAGCAGACTTTCAAAAATGGTTTTCAAAGTATCAATGACTTGTATGCCTAGGCCCCTTTAGCAACTTGAATTAAAAACCTATGTTTTTAAGTTTCAGTAACTTGTGCAATTTGGTTGTCCTCTAGATAATTATGAAGCAAGAGACAGATGATCGGGCTTTACTATTTGGAGCACCATGTGTTCTCATGGGGCCACTAGGAGTTTCTTGACTTAAGTAAATTGGTGAGCACTTTCCATATGCCAACAGAAAATCCTCCAAGTCAGTTCATGGCAACTGCAGTCTTGAGTGAATGATGTATCTCAATGCCAGTTTCTCCCTAAACAAATCTATATAAACAGGAACTAAGTCCCTGCAGCAAATTTCTAGTTGCAAAACCATCATCAGACTTCTGACTGCAGCGGGAGCCCCAAATGCTTCTAATGTGACACATGATTTATATGTGTGGACCTCCCAACCTGCTTGCACTGGTTCCAGGCAGTGATGAGCCCTAGGCTCGCCTGTGAGATCAGGGTACCTGATCAGTTTGTGCCTGGCCCTGAACAGGGCACCCTTCCAGGCCACAATGCACTCACAGATCACCCTGTGGCGCCCACATACACCCAGGAAGCTAACCTGCACATCTTTGGGAACTGGAGTCCCTCGAGAAACCCTAGCCAGACATAAGAAGAGTGTTAAACTCCCACACAGAGAGGCCCAAAGAGGACTGAACATTGTCTTTTCATCAACGATATTACTAAACAAACTGAAGTAACATGATTTGGTGACCTGCAGTAAATGTTTCAAGTCTCTGCATGCGTTTGGTGGAGCTTGTCCCCACAGGTGTCTTCGGGGGCTGGGTGGTGAGGAAATGTTTGGTTCGTAGAATAATCAAATTGCTGTGGCTGGAGAGACATTTAAAAAAATGCTGTGTGAATGCCTCAGAGCTCAGATTGAGGAATTTGGATGCACTAAGGTATGGCACAGAGCTAACATCCCCAGTTGGGAGCCAGCCGCTGGGAAAGAAAGGGTCCTGGAGCATGGGACAGCACTCATCTGGATGCTGAACTTCAAGAGCAATCAGGAGTGGAAATTTCTCACTTTCACTGGAGTGGCATGGTAGGGACAGGGTAGGGTCAATGGGGATGGCAATTGGTCCACCTGCTGGACCATTCAGGGTGAAAGACTTTGTCTCTGGACTGTGTGTTTGTCTCCTATTTAAAAAAAAGAAAGGGCTTAGTGGCAAGAGACATGCATGAAGAATTAAGACGGCCAAGGCTGGAATGCCTAGCCCAAGACCAGGGCCCTTGAATGCCTTGGTGATGACATGGAGGACTCTGCGAAGATTAGTCGGGGGTTGGAGCCATATCTGCTTGGGCTGGCACCATAGGACTGCAGGTAGGACACTTGCCTTGCAGGCAGCTCACCCAGGTTTCATCCCCAGCATCACATATGGTCCCCCTTAGTTCTACCAGGAATGATCCCTTAGCGCAGAATCAGTAGTCAACTCTGAGCATCGCGGGTGTGACCTCACCTTCCCACCTACCCCACCCACCCCCTCCAACAAAAAGCCCTTTCAGCCTCTCACCATTCCTCTTGTATTCACTCCTTCACTACTAGCTCCCCAAGCCAGACACCTGACCACTTTCTGTATCTCTTCTTTTTTCTGCCCCATCTTTATTTGCTCAGTCACCATCCCAGCTACTTCTGAATTGTCTCTCCTCAGAATCTTGGAACAGAGTGTTCCTGTAACAGTCTCTCACCCCCCGTCCTCCATCTTCTCCTCTCCAGATTGCTCACAGTCTTGCCAGAGAGCGGCTTCTCAACATAGATCACACCCCTCTGGCCCCTAGTCCAGCAGGCCCCTGCACTCCTCACCCTGACCTCAGGACCTTCTGCTCTGCCTCCCTCTGCCCCTGCTGGCAGGGTCCTTGCAAACCCCCGCTGCTCTGCCAGGCTTCCACTGGGCTCCCAGCAAACATCTCAGCACCCACCCTCTGCTGTGGAATGCGGAACAGCCTGTCATCCTCCTGACAACACCCCTTCCTACTTCCAGGGACATTTCCTGTCCTTTCATATCAGGAATCTGAGCTCTCTGTGCAGCACCCGTATTTTTACCTAATTGTCACATGTACAAAGTGGCTTTGTAGGTGCATGCTGAATTGTCTTTTTCTTATAAAAGACTGAATTCTGTGATGGTGGATACCCAGTGTAGCTTGTTCCCCATCCCCCCCCCCACCCCAGCACAGCACTTATTATGCACCCAGTGTTTATGGCATATTAGAGCCATGAGCATCTTAAGTACCTATGCCCATGACTTGGTAGACCTTGTTAATATTGTAAGCAGAGAGCTGCAAAACATTAATCTGTATACAATTTCAAAGGTTGTCATTTTCTTTCCTAAAAATGGAGAAGAGAAAAAATGATCACATACATAGTTATGTATTGAATATACAGTCGTGCATTCTGAGAAATGCATTTTGAGACAGTTCTGTTGTATAAGCATCATGGAATGAACTTACACAGAGCTTGATAGTACACCTATTATTGCCTAGGCTATGTGGTCTAGACTGTTGAGGCCAATATCTCATATTTGTTTACCATCATTAAGTGATGGGTGACTGAATAAACCAAATAGACAGCAATCTCACATTTATGGGCTAGATAAATAGCATAAGGACTAAGACGCTTGCCTTACATGCAGCCAACACTGTTTCAATTCCCAACATCATATGGTTCTGTCAGTACCACTAAGAGCAACCTTTCATTCACAGAGCCAGGAGTACCCCCCAAATATTCCCAGATGTAGACCAAACTCTCACCTCCCACTGAAAAAAACCACACCTATAAATAAGTCAGTAGAACTGCAATGTTCCCATTAAATGTGGAAGTTAGAAGGTTGCAGCTCTAACCAACTCTGGCAAGAGTGAGCATAGAAGCTAGGCTCAGATGGTTTGAAGAGTGTCAGTGAGGAGAGTAGTGGAGAGCAAGCACAGATGGGTTTGCAAAGGGAAAATGCCCCCCAGAGAGAGGCAGTGCTTAGGCAGCAGGACTTAAAGGAGGGGTTTTTTATATGATAGGAGAATTCTGGGCACATTTGGGGACTGAGAGAGAAGCAGGACCCAAAGCCAGTCGCCGAAACAAGGCCCAGTGAGGTGAGTCTGCAGGGAGAAGCCCAAGCCTTCCACCTGCAGGACTGGCATCTGGGTAATAGAGAAGCAGCCAAGCGTGGCAGCAGGTAGCTAACAGGAAGGTGTGCAGGGGCCGGCAGGGCAAGGAAAGTGCCGAGAAGGAGCAGGCTAGCACACCTGCTTCTAATGCACAAGCCCGTGACCCTGTGACTTTCTTCCTTTCAGCTGTTTGGGGGCCTTGTCTGGATCCTGGTGGCCTCCTCCAACGTCCCTCTACCTCTGCTGCAAGGATGGGTGATGTTCGTGTCCGTGACAGCATTCGTCTTCTCCCTTCTCTTCCTGGGCGTATTCCTCTCCGGCATGGTGACTCAGATTGATGCCAACTGGAACTTCCTGGTAAGGGACCTGAAAATCAGCTTGAGGAACCTTATCTGTTCCTGCAAGGTCTGATTCTGTGTCTCTCTTGCTTCCAGTGGGAAAGAAGAGGTCAGCCCATAGGTTGTCTACAACTGCCTTGGTGGACAGCAGGGATTTAGTCTGTACAATTTCCATGTTCATAGAATGGGGTTAACCTTTGATCTTTCTAATTCCTTTCGGAGCCAGAGGACCTTTCGCTAAAGACCTTTTTCATGGGACAAGTGAGCTTTGTCACTGACCTTTGGAATAGAAGTGCCTTTGGAGGATAAATGCTGTGACATGTATCATGAAAATCTTCTTGACTTCTGTTTTATATATTTAAATACAGATGTATGCTTTGCAGAAAATGTGGTGCTATGTAGCATGTTCTCCAAAGGCTTAGGAAAAGAGATATTTAAGAATTTCTAAATTTTAAGAAAATGAATTTACAATCAACTCAGTTTTTTTTAAGATGATGACATCAGGACTTTTCCCAGGCATTATTGAGAGCCTCTTTTCTGCAATTGTTATTCATTCCCTGGATGGACCAGTGGGATATGAATTCTAATCCATGGTGAATAATGCTCTAATGGAATCCATGAATAAGCTGCCATACTTTATGATCACATTTTGATGGTTAGAAATTTAAGTCAGACCTTTAGTTGGGCTTTATGTATTGCATATCCTTTCAAGTACCTGCAAGCCTCTTTTTACTGTGTCTGAAGATAAACAGTTCTAAAACACAGCAGTTAAAAATTGCTACCATCTGGTGATATCTCCATGATATATGTGACTCAAAAATATTTCTGGCTGAAAGTGTACAAGATACGAGTTTTACAACTTGAAGATTTGTGGCAACAGTGCCTGGAATAATGGCAATATTTTTCTAACAGCCCAGATGATGGTCAGCATTATATTTTTTAGCAGTACAATATACGTAATTAAGGCATGTTCATTTCTTAGACAATGCTCTTGTATGAAAAGCTATTGTGTACTGTGAAAATAAAGACTATGATGATTAGAGTCAAGTATATGCATGATCTATTTTTTCTAAATGTCTGACTTTCCCCCAAAATTCAAATAATATGTGAATAGAGTAGTTAAAGTGACTGAGCTCTTTAAATATCAGACTCAAGGATGACATTTTGCTAGTTGTTGTCACTTGAGGTCTACTACTGTTTTCTTGGAACTAGTTGATAGGAAAGCCATTGCCCTATCCTTCTATCTTTGCCCAAGTGTGGTAATACCTATCACATTGGCCCTGAATTTAGGGCTTTTCTGAACCCCCAATAGCCCACTAACTAAAGGGTTAATACCTGGAAAAGTTGAGTCTCCAAAATCCTGCAGCATTCAGTTTTTTTATAATTGGTTGACATTCGTGCCTAATGGTTAAGCACTTTTTAAATACCATTCATGGCTTTACTAGATGTATGTCCATACCATTTTTTTTCTTCTTGGCTTATATTGTTATCTTTGTTATGAAGTCCAATCATTAATTTCCTTATTGATGTAGTAAGTGCCCCATTTGCCATTTCTTCTTAAATCATAGTATTCTATCTGATATTCAGACAATAGAAAACATTTATTTCAATTAAATCATGCTAAAAATGGGGCAAGTAAAATGAAAAGTCTAACAGTCTCTCCCATAAATCACCTGCAAAGATTATCCTGAGGGTTTGTTTTTTTAGTCAAAATAGCCACTTTCACTTGAGGAAAAAATGAAAAAGCAACACACAGCAGAAAGGAAGCTGATGGCTTCTGTATAGTCTTACTTTCAAAGAACCTATGCTTGCCTTCAAGGAGTTTACTGGAATGTTGGCTTTTGTAATGGAATCTCCTGTTTCTCTCGAACTTCCTGCACACTCAGTCATTAATAATGCCACTGCTTTAGAGAGGTTTTGTAATATGTCTTGTGTACTCTTAGCCAGAAAATTTTTGAGCCATGCATATCATGCAGTTATCACCAGATGGTAGCAACTCTTAATTACTGCACCCTGAATTGTTAGACATTAATTGCTGAAAAATAATTGTTTCTCCCTGTGATAATAGATTAATGTCTTCTGTATTCCAGGCATAAAGGAAACAAGACTGCACTTGAAAAATAATTTATTTTCTAAAGATACTGATTGTCAAAATTGACTAGTCTCACCTTTATTGGATTATGAAAGTGAATTAACATTCATGAAATCTTTAGTGTTATCCTAAACCTTCCAGCATTAGTATAATGAAATAAAAATATAAAGTGTAATAACAGAATAAGTGCTAAAAATGTGCTCCTTCCTAATTCAGGAATAAAGACATAGTCATAGTCATAGTTCTCCTGTTGTTCATCGATTTGCTCGAGCAGGCCCAGTAACGTCTCCATTGTAAGAATTGATGTTACTGTGTTTGGCATATCGAATACATCACGGGGAGCTTGCCAGGCTCTGCCGTGCGGGCTCGATACCCTCGGTAACTTGCCAGGCTTTCCGAGAGGCACAGAGGAATCGAACTCGGGTCAGCCATATTGGCTGCGTGCAAGGTAAACGCCCTACCGCTGTGCTATTAAGTTTTGACTTTGAAAATTGTTTTTTTGAATATTTTATTTTTTGGTGGTGGATGAGGAGAAGAAAATAATGCCATCTTATTTGACTTTAAGCAAGAGATACCTGCTTCAGCAAAAGCAGGGGCTTGGTGAGCGGTAGCAGTGGGGAGCTGCTGCTCCCAGGCATTTGCAAGGCATCCTTCTCCCACCACCACCCTGCTCTGCTCATGTGCACATAATCCAGTTAGGGGATAGTGGGTCACAAAGGTTGACTTGCCTGTTATTTTCTCTATTTGGTTTTCCATCGTGAGTGCTTCTGGTCCGCATTATCATGTGCCAAAAACAGAAACAAAATTTAAAAATAAAAACATTCCCCCAAACAAGATATAATTATTCTAGTGTCTTTTTAGTTGAAAGTTGAGAACAGCCTGTATTTTATTTGTGTTAATATGGCGCTTGGTGGCACTTTAAGCTTGAATCATGTCTTTGCACTGAAGACAGCAAGTAGGAAATCACCAGGGCCCTCGGGATATGGCTCGGTTATAGTGTAGTGGTAGGCCTGAGGTTGAGAGTTTTATCTCTGGCACTGCCCCAGCTGCCACATAGGCTCTAAGCAGCACTATTGTTTGCGACCTGTGCCCTGCAACCAACTGTACAAGCCACCATCCACTAGAAGAAAAGAGTGAGCAGAAGAGGAGGGGAAATAGATCATTTTAAAATTCACTCTATCAGAGGGTTTGCTGCTATGCCCGCTGCAGTGAATGCCTTGACTTGACTTTATTTGGAATCAAAGAGCTTGGCTTTACTAAAGCAGCTCAAACAAATGGTGAATGTAGTTGAAGATTTTTTCATTAAATGTCCTCAGCTTCCCAAACTTCAGTGTCATTTTTAAACGAAGGTCAAGCTTCATTTTCATTGACGATGTCTTTCCTTTCCTTCTGCTTTCAGGATTTTGTTTACCACTTTATAGTGTTTGTCTTTTACTTCGGAGCTTTCTTACTGGAAGCAGCAGCCACATCCCTGCGCAATATTCGGGGTTGCAATGCAACCTTGGCTGAGACGCCACTCCTGGATGACAACCAGTATAACATAAATGTAGCCGCCACAGTAAGTGTCTGATGAGCACAGATGACCAGTGCCCTCCATTGCCCTTCCAAAGCCTCAGGGAAACTCCACAGGCAGCATTAGTTTTCTTTAATAACAGCCACTAGCTTTAACTTACAGTATCACTCTTGTGAGTGAAGTGCTGTTATTACCCGTGGTGCTCTCGATGATGGAAATAAAGCACCAGGAGTTTGAAGTTCATGACAGATTCTAGTCAGGCAGTAGTAATGGTTCACCTCGTAGAACTAAGTCCGCTCTGTGAAAAAGAATTGTGTGGCTTTTTATGACTTCAGACATGGGAAGGGACAATTGGTTATCATCAAGCTTTTTCTGTTTCTCCTTTTTCATGTGGCAAGTAGCTCATTGATTATTGGGGAGAGACTGAATGAGGTTTGGTACCTGCCATTGGGGAAAGGGCATGCGTTCGGAAGGAGAATGTCCCAGCCATTATACTGGATGATATCCAGGTGAAATGCATTCTACGGGGAAAGGTGCTGAAAAATATTTATCAAATGTGTTAGTTCACTTGAGTGAGTTTGTAGTCTTGTATTGACATTTGTAGTTTGACGAAATAATATTTTGGATTTATTTAGGTACTTTTCAAGGTATCAAGTTTGAATTCTTTATATTTTATGTTTACATGGCAAGTAGTAATCTTACATATTACTATTAAATACAAATAACATATGAACAGTTCAGTGTACTCACCATATAGCCATTCAAGCCTTTCTGGAACTGTGTTACCCCAAAAGAACCTTAAAAATTATATTGTTCTCCAATGAGGGGGGATTAGCCTCATTTAATTATTAAGCCATTGAACTGCAGCTTATTAAAGGAACAAGTAAAGAACTGAAGTATTAATTTTAAGCTCAAATTTTAATTGCTACATGTGACATGCTGACCCCTTGGACAGGGACAGAACAGGTGTAGAGTGTGGGTTTTGAAGGGTAGCAGAGAAATGACCCCAAACCTGCCCTTCTGAATGTCCCAAGTGTCTGTTATGATTTGTTGACACCATTGTCTATGGTGAATTAGGCTGAAGGTGGGATTGCAGCATGAAGTTCACCTGGCTCTGATTTGGAAAGTCATCAGTCATATAAGTCAGTTCATTTTATATGGTCTTAAATAAGAAATGAAATTGCTTTTTCTTGATGAACTCTTACAGTTCAAAGCCTGTAGAAGGTACAAGCAGAGTCCATTGCTGGGGTGCGAAGGAAGCTCTCCCTTCACATAAGGTCGCTCCTCTACTCATTTTCTCAGAAGTATTTCACAGAAGACTTGTGAACCAGAGATTAGTTGAAAACCATGGATTTTAACAACTTTCCAAAGAAAAGTTCAAGGACCAGAATTAACGTTTTTCTATCAAGTGTCTTTTTCATTAGTCAATGCTCCCCCTGGATTTTCCATTGCTACTTCTGTTCCCTTCTTTTCAAGGGCAGAGGCTAGATTCTTATAACCTTTCATGGGGCCATTAAGTAATCCCAAAATGATATATTTATAGCTACCCTAAGATCCCACTTTCACAAGAATAGCGGGTGCTCAAATCCTTGATGAGAGGCAGTAGATGTCACTGATTGGGCCAAGGATATAACTTAGTGATAGATCACTTGCCTTGTGTGTGTCATGCCCTGGATTTCACCCCCATCACCAGAAAACAAAACAAAGAACATTTTTGTGATTTCACATTAATGCTTCCTTGATTCTGTTTCATTTCTCTATTGTGGTTGGCCTCTTTAGCTCATGAACTCAGTGAAGCTGGCTTCAATAGCACTGCCTGATAAAGTTCTACATCAAGTTGCATTTTATCTATCTGCTGCAGTAGAAGTAAATCTTTTGCTCCTGAGTTTTTAAAATAAATATAAGTTATTGATTTGTCACATTATAGTGAGTCATTTTATTCCCATATATCTGAGAGAGAGGAACATGTCTTGTCAATACTATCAGACGCAATCATTTGCAACTCAGCAAAGAATATCTAAATTAGCAGTGTATCCAGAGGAAATGGGTCAGGAGAAACAGCAGGATGTTAACTGAACTGTGCAAATGTCACAGGTGAGCCTGGTAGTCCTTCTTAGACTGGAGATTGCTAGTAAAGGATTCATTCACTAAATGATGTTTTATTGTATTTTATTGCTTTGCCTCTTTATGGACCGCAAATCCCCAAAGAGTGAGGACAGTATTAGCTATGTATTTACATGGATCAAATATTCAAATGTGCACATAGGGGGTCCTCAAGAAATCCTCATTTGAAAACTAGAGATAAGAATTCTGAGGTGAATGAAGGCCTGAGGACCATTTACCACACAAAACTAATGATTTGTATCTGTGGGTTCTCCTTGTGCTGTTTTAAAAATCGTTTTCTGTTGTCACAGAAATTGTTTGATACAATCTCTAGTTCTGAGGAGAGTTGCATTTTCCACTGTGATGCCTCTGTATGAATAGACACTTCATGAAGAGTTCTTGTTTTTGGTTTTGTCTTTGAAGTTCATTTTAATTGAAGTATAACATATGGGAAAGTTCGCAGATTGTTAAGTAAATAGCTCAATGAGTCTTCCCAACATGAACAAACTAAGAAATACCTGACTGATCGAATACTGTCACCCCACCACCTAATAATCCTTTTCTAACAAAGAAAAGGATTTTATTTTTTAACAAAGAAAAAGATTATTATTGCTTCCCTCCTCACCCACATTTCTTGGATATTTTGCTACTTCAAGGTGAGATTCTTTTTCTTTCACAGAAATCTTTTCAGATGAACTCATGATCATTAATTCCTTTAACTGTTGCTTGTCTTAAAAGCACTGTGTTCCCCCTTTAAATCTGAATGAATATTCTTGGTTGGGGTTTTTTAGCTCAACTCTCTGCATACTTCATGTCATACTCCATTCTAGCCAGTAGAAATTTTCTTCTTGAAAAATACGCTGATAGCCTTACATGGGACTTGAGGTTTTCTAAATATTTAACACATGGGCCTGCCTAGTTTGTGAGCAGATGTCCAACATGATGTTCTCCCCAAGTGAGCATATTTTTAAGGGCTAGAATGTTTCAAGAAAGAGAACTGATGTGAAAAGAAAAAATAGTGGTAAAAGCCATATTTATAAAGATTCACAGAAGCATTTTCCTGCGTGTTGAAGTTTCTTTAAGGCAGATCCGTCTACCTTCAAATAAATATAACTTAGGATGTGTGTTTCATTAAGCTCACTTTTATAAATCTGATGTGAATTTTTGTTTCCTTTTCCTTAGATTTTTGCCTTCGTGACGACAGCCTGTTATGGTTGCAGTTTGGGTCTGGCCTTACGAAGATGGCGACCGTAACACTCCTTAGTAGCTCACTGTCTAGGCTGGAGAAATCGTACAGTGGGTAGGGCATTTGCCTTTCATGTGGCAGACCTGGGTTGATCCCTGGCCTCCCGTATGATCCCCTGAGCACTGCCAGGTATAGTTCCTGAGTGCAGAGCCAGGGTAACCCCAGAGCTTTGCCAGGTGTGGCCCAAAAACCAAAAAGAAAGAAAAAAAGGCATTGTCCAGGTGTTGGTTTCATTTGTCTACTTATATTGTAGTCTGATTATTTAAATGCCATTTTGTCCAGATATAAGAATATTTCAAAAATAAGTTACTCAGTTTGAAAGAGAATCTTAAGTACAAGCCTAGTCTTATTTCCTGGGTGGAGTTTTAATTTTATTATAATATTAATTATATTATATATATATAGCCATTATTTTTACATGTTCCCTTTTTCAAAGAAAATTTCCCTTTATATCCGTACAATGAACAGATAATATTCATGGAAAAGGGGTCTCTCTTTTGTCTAGGTGCCCAGAAGCTTAAACCTGGAAATTTAGTGAACCTTGAAGTTTAACTAAGTATCTCAAAACAATATTCCAAATAGGTTTACCACTAAACTTTAGTTTTGAATATGAAACAGGGATTAATAGTCATTTTCTTTAGAGGTCTGGAGATATAATATTTTATAAATATTTTAGCTTTCACAGGCCTGTACAGCCTATGTTGCAGCTTTTTCCCACTGATGTTTCTACATGAAAGTGGCTGTAGACAATGCATAAATGAGTGTGTGGCTTTATTCCAATAAAACTTTATAAAAAAAAACAGACAGAAGGTTGGATTTGGCCTGTATGCTTCAAATTATAGTTTGCTGGCCTGTGGTATTTAGTTTTATGTTCTGCATTTTATTAAACTTTTTTTTCTGAGCTAAAGTTTATTAGATGAGGCTCAGAGTTGTATCATAATGCAATAATCACAATGCCTTTTTGTTAATTATCAAATACCTTGAACAGGCTTATCATTCCTCAAGTAATAAGGGGCATATAGTTTCTCAAGCTATTTCAATCATGAAATGTGGTTATAAGAAAGTGTAATTTATGATGTGATCCCTTATAGCCTGACCAAATTCAGGTCTCCTAAGGAGTGAGCAAAACTCCCACTTCACATCCTTCACATGGAGATTCCCCAGAGACCATTACCCAGCGCTGGTATCTCTCCACTTACATCATACTTTGAATTTAGTCATGCTTTAAAATATAGCTGTTTGCCCTGTGCATGAATATATGAATATTGTGTGTGGTTATGTAAAGCTTTTCCAAATCTAGAGCTCTAAAATAAGTTTTAAATTTTAATTGTTTTTTATTATTTTTTGTTAAATTTGAATATAGTAGTAATTCTATCTTAAAGTTGTGTTTTTTTTTTTTATAGTAACCCATCCACACGTATTCTTTTTGCATTGGTGACAGCACAAAGTCACTTTTAAAACAACAGCCGTCAAAAACAAAAGACGCAGCCTCTGGATGACTAGCACAGTTTAAAAGGAGAAAGTATTTTAAGCCACCTGTAAGATCTTAGTTGTGGACAAGTGCCAGTATGGCTTGAAAGAAGGGAATAAGTTAGAACTCCCCCTCACTACTTCTCACCACAGTGAAGTAAGGAATTCCCAGCTCCCACTCCACTGGCTATCTCTTGCTCCAGATTGCTGCCTTTGGGAAAAGACGGCTTTTGAATGCTCTGTTCTTTCAACCCTTTTCTTTTTAGCGGAAACATTGCCTAAAGCCTACCGTGTATACATAGGACTGCTAGATTTTCTGGAACATAGAACAATCATGAATGAGTAGTATGGTCTGTGTTCAGTAATCAACTGCTGTTGGTATAATAATCTCCTAGAAAGAACTTTGTTAGAGTTTAGTTTTGAGAATCTAAAGAGAAAACACGTTTCAATATGTGGCTGAAGGAAATAAGTTTTATGACTTTATGCACATATCATGTCTTTTCTATAAACATTCCACTTCCTGGGTTTTCCTAGCTCAAGACCACACATTTGAACTTGTATTAAAAATTGTATATTACAAAGTCATAAATGTGCCATAAGGATATATAGTTAATCTGCTCTACCTGGAATTACATAGTCTGCTAGATTTAATTGTGAGATTCTATTTTTGTTTCCAAGGTATAACAGGTCTGTACCTGCTGCCGTTACGTTAAATGATTTCATGGAAATGCTTTGGTGGCACTTTTGTAAATGAATTGCTTCTAGATAATTAAGAACCAAGTCTAAAACTCATCTAACTGTGAATATGCTTAGATTTGTAAATTAATTGCATTTTAGATTTGTAAGCTGAGTGACAAAGCACTTGAACAAAAATACTGGCATATAAGAATTTATATATCTCAGCTGTAAAGATGACAACGTCTTGGGTGGTTTTAGAATCTGGTAACTCCATGATGAAAAGAATTTTATTTTATAAGTGTTATAACTCTAATAAAGTATTCATTTGATAATCTTCTGGTGTTTTATAATAAAATTCACTTTGAAATTTAAAGGTTGAATATAAACTTGGCAGATTTGAAACTTTTAAACTCATTTAGTTCATTTTTAAACATTTCTGTGTATAAGATAGTTTCTCAGGAAATGTCTGTATATCTTCTTTGACAGAGGTCTAAGAGGTAAGTCTTGAAAGTGATGTGAATGAAGTTTAAAATGAGAATTATATTTTATTAAAAAAAAACACTTACAGAGCCAGAAAGATAGTATAGTGGGCAAGGCGCTTGCCTGGCATGTGGCTGATCCAGGTTCGATTCCCAGCATTGCATATGATCACCTGAGCACAGAGCCAGAAGTGATCCCTGAGCACAGCTAGGGATAGTCCCAAAATAAAACAATAAAAAAAGTATGCAATACTTAGTATATGTTAAGTAGTATCCTAAGCATTTTTCAAATATTATTTAATTCTTCTCACAAAAATCATAACTCCCATATGTGATAAACCTTATTATTCCATTTTAAAGACAAGGGGCACCCAGGACCACGTACCCAGCCAGTGGGAAAGCTGAGATTTAAATCCCATTGATTTGACTCCAACGTCTAGGTTCCTAATTGCTATGTATCTCTCTTCACCCAGATCCTGCATATTAAACATACCCACAAATAGGAAGGACCCTTTCTTCTCCTCCCCCACAAAGTTTATTTAAAATCTATTAAGAGCATGCTTTTAATGGCACATGTCATGTTTCAGAACTTTTTTGTTATAACCAAGGAGGAGTCATGAGATTAGATGTAATCATTTAAATTAAGTCAGCATGAATGGGGCAGAGGAAGACAGTTTTAGTCTGCAGTGGCCCCTGGGTTGTTCAACAGCCTGAGTTCATCTCTGGTTCATTCATTCTGGTAAGAACCCTATGGTTCTAGTCTGCCTCATTGCTATACTCTGTCAGTTCCTTTCCTGAATTAATCTGACTTCTTGATGACCCCTAGAACAGACAGAAGAAATATTATCTAATCTGAGATATACCATCCTACCTTTACATATCAACATGAATACCTTCCAAAAAATATGAATTCCCAACTCTGCGTATTCCAGAATCTGATCTGTGTGTGTGTGTGTGTGTGTGTGTGTGTGTGTGTGTGTGTGTGTGTGTGTGTGTGTTGAGGTGGGGGAGGCCTTGGTTTGGGCCACACTCACCTTTGCTCAGAATGGCAAGGTAGCAATTTAATGTTTTTTTATACATGTAATGGGTGAAGGATACAAATTTTAAAGAGAAGCAATATTATCTATATGTTTATACATGAGTATGTTTATATTACATTTATATACATATTTTTAATGTTTTGTTATGTTCAGCTTTTTATAGAGCCTATAATTTATACTTTCATGATATTCTGTCCCAGGTTAGTACTAATTCCTTTCAGGGGCATCTTTTCTCAAGGATTTAATACAACTTTCTGCGTCACTCGCTTTGGCCATTGCTTTGCAGAGAGGCCTCCCTCCCTGAGAATGATGTTTAAACTTTCCTGACCCAACATGCCTATTCTCCTTTCCTGTATTTTGTCAATGTTTCAAAAAGCCCTAAAATACATACCTTTTGGGACCCAGAGCAATAGAAAAGCCTGTAGAATACTTGCCTTGCATATGGATTCAATCCCTGGCACCATTTTTTTTGGTTCCACAAGAAGCACCAATAGTGATACCTGAACACAGAGCTAATAGTAAGCCTTGAGCTTCACCAGATGTGGCCCAAGCTCCCCAGCAAAAAAAAATTGTATCTTGTCATTTTCCTTGTTGAAATGGTCAGGGTTCTTCTGAAGCAAGGACAACGATATCTTTGGAGTAAGTCCTTGCTCTGGCAATATTTTTCATTCATGGCAAACTGGTCACCTCTATAACCACTTAGGTTCCAGGCTTGAAAACTGGGTCAGGTACATAAACTGAACAAGAAAATGGGACCATGTCCAACAGATTTCTGCTTATCCATTCTTCTTTTGATTGTTATAAAAGGGTAAGCAGCACCCTGATTAATTTTTCATCTTATTTCTCCCCTAAAGAACCCATGTTCTAGTAAACAGCTATATATATTTTCATAAGATTCAATCCCTTCCTATAAGGGACCGTTGTGAGAGTCCAAATGGAAATAAATTTGAGAGCCCCCTGTGGTGTATTAGTAACCAGGTATTTAATGTAAAGAAGCCCCTTGTTTCAGAAAGATCTGCATTATGCTATTAAATGCCTGACACAAGTATTTTCAGAGTATGGCAGGTTTTAGTATGTCATTGATTTGTCTTTAAACTTAAGCATTTGCTTGCTTCAGGACAGCTATAGACAAAGGTAAATTATACATTGATGGAGTTTATTAAGAAACAATTCTAACGTGGCAATAGTCTCCATGGTTTTTGAAGTCTTGACATTCCTTACAGCAATGCCTAAAGGGTGACCTCATCAACACAGGGAAATTCAAACAACAAATAAACTGCTCAAGTGGAAGTTCAGCATTACTCCCAGGGCAAAGGGGGAATTTTTTTTAAATATTGAAGAATATAGATTGAGAACTTATGGGTCCAGCAGGATCACTCTGAGGGGTAGAGAAACAGCCCAGTGTGCTGTTTGATTCTATGCCCAACATCCTTGAGAACAGCCAGTAATGACCCCTGAGCACTTATAGGCCTGATCCCCCCAAATACAAACTTCAATTTTTAATAAATGGGGCATGAGCCACTATGACAATAGAGTTGGGAATCATCATTCTGGACAAAAACTGAGTGCTGAAAGGAAGCAGTGATATGCATGATGTCCTTTCAGTAGCAGTATTGCAATCCACAGTGCATAAAAGAAAAATGAGAGAAAAGTATCTTCCGTAGAGGTAGGCTGTGGAGGTGGATGGAGGGTAGATGTGGGGGGGATGATGGAGAAGGGACAGGAGGGAGACTGAGGCCACTGATAGTATGAAAAATGCACTAGTGAAGGAATGGGTGTTGGAACATTGTATGTCTAAAACTGAATCATGAACAACATTGCAGCTAACAGTTGTAAATGGGGCAGAGCAAGTGGGCACTTGTCCTGCATGCAGTCAACTGGGGTTACATCCCCAGCACCCCATATGATCCCCTGAACCTGCCAGGAGTGATCCCAGAGCACAGAGCCAGGAGTAAGCCCTGAGAACAACCAAGTATGCTGCCCACCCACCCACCCCCCTCAAAAAAAAAAATCCTGTGTGTGTAAATAAAAAATGGAGAGCCGGAGGTTGGTGAGTATATGATTTGCTCGTGGACACCTCCAAGCACCACACAGGCCTTCTGAGCACTGCCTGAAACAAGAGAACTTCACCCCAGAGAACTTCAGGTGTAGTCCGGAAATAAACCAAAGGCACTTGGGTCAAGCAAAGAAGTTTGGGTTTTGTCTAAGAGGTTCAAGGTCACTCTTATCCAGCTGTTTTATAATTTATCTTTATTTATACATAGAAATGTTTTTCTGCATCAAGAGAAAGCTGGATTTTTTCCAATTGCCCTGAAAGAGGTTATTCAAATGACTTTGCTCTCACTTGAGTCTGAGGCATGTAGGGTTCCTTTCAGGGTCATGCAGTGGTTCTTCCTCAAGCAACGAAGGCTGGCAGATCCTACTTTAAAGTCACCCTTTGTTTCTCTTTCTATCAACTCACGCTTTTAACTGGCAGCTTCCAGGGGGCCTGTGATAACCTGATATGTTTGCATGGCAGCCCTACGTCGCCTACAGTCATTCCTTTTGATTTCTGAAGTAACCGGTTGCTGGTTGCCTGTTGAAATACCTCCTCCCTTTTCAGTGTTTTGCTATAAAATCAGCAATAAATGAACAGTTCTGATGTGTGGCCTAATTGAGTGTCATGTCTTCTTTAGTTAGCACTGCTGGGATAATGATAGATGAAAGAGAAGCAAATGTTCCTCCCCCATACTTCCGGAAGCCCACACCCACCATGTCCACCTCCCCCAGCCACCTCCATGTTGACTCACCCACCAGTCCTGCTTTGCTGATTCACAACTAAATCTCCCAGGAGATGCATGCCAATTCCATAAATTTTGTGGAAACACTGGTCCCTGTGGCAAAAACTGGGGGGCCTTCAGGAGGCCAGCAAGCTGAGTACCCACCCTACCAAAGCCCCAACAGCCCCACCCACACCCCACCACTGCAGCCACACCAAGGGCTCAACTTTACCACTTCACTAATATTCTCTGCAGAGATGCCAAACTGCCAATAATTTCTAGTACTCCTATGCCCACATATGAGTACTCACGTATAAGTGAACTTATTCCTGGATCGCACAGCCACTTTCACTTTTGACACATCATAAGAAACTCCCTAAACATTTTTCATGGTTGCCACACCATACTTGATGGGATTCAGACAATAGGCAACAAATCATAGAGGAAAATATGTACATATATATGTATATGTATGTATGTATATATATATATATATATATATATATGCCTCTCAGAGATCCCGGCAAGTTACCGAGAGTATTCTGCCCACACGGCAGAGCCTGGCAAGCATATTCAATATACCAAAAACAGTTACAATAACGGGTCTCATTCCCCTGACCCTGAAAGAGCCTCCAGTACGGCAGCGGTAGGAAAGATGAGTAAGGAGAGGCTGCTAAACTCTCAGGGCTGGGACAAATGGAGACATTACTGGTGCCTGCTGGAGTAAATTGATGAACAATGGGATGACAGTGATATAGTGATACTCCCTTGTCCAAGCTGTGATCTCTGGTGTTTCTCTGAGTAACGGGTGGGTAGGGTCCCAAATACCTCAGTACTTACAGATGCCCGCATCTACGGTCACTGCTATTTGACTTCACTGGCCTAGACCATAGATTCTGAAGTCTCTGGACCACAAGACTGCCTATGCAAATTCCTCCGTACTGAAATTCCAGTAGGACCACACCAAAATAGATGGGAAAGTAACATAGAAGTCAAGTAGGCTCAATAAACAAAATCAATAACACAGAATGTTCAACTAGCAACAAATTGGTTAGTAA